CAGTGGAAATCCCGAGCCATAGTTCAAACACTTATCCCAAAATAAAATGAAGCACATATAAGTTTAGTTACAATACCATGTACAAAAATGGTGTTTAACATTGTTCCCTGAGTAATACCTCAATGAAAACAACAATGAAAGCTTGTCACGCAAATAGAAGGAGTACCGTTGGGCACTTTCTGAAATATTTCAATAGTACAATTCCCTTGCAAACCCAAATAAATCTATCTGCGTAAAAATTAATAAAATAAGAGTGATTTGCGGAAAAACCCGCCAGTATCGCACCCAACTTCAGTGCCTATTCGTAAGCGTACTACGACGCGGCTTTTAAAAAAATGTGTAACAAGTGTGATACTATCACTGCTAGACTAGATCTTTGGTTTTCTCATGCAGTGGTTCATCAGAAAAGGGGAAGCTCAGTAATCCTCATTGCATGCTCATGACGCTTTTCTGCCACGGCATGAGCCAACGATGCCGGACCTAAACCGACCGTCTCCCACGCTCCACTAAGGCTTGTACTCGAAAAAAATGCACCATTTTTATCCGTGTGTAACTTTTTCATCCGTGGGTAAAAATTGATGAAAATCTGGGTATAACTAGTTTGGAGTGAATTGTTTACATGTGCAATATTACATAACAATCGGTTCAGTGGTTATTGAGATGTCATCGAAACAAGAAGAAAATCGCCGGAGAATTTTGCACGCCGTCATGGAAAACCCGACTGCGACCATGAGATGGATCGGAATCACCCATACAACTGTGTCTCGGGTGGTAAAATCGATTAAGGAGTCCCAGAAAATCGAAGACAGCTGACCCTGTGAAGGCCCGGAAGGTATTGGATTATTTCAAGCGTAATTCGAACCTTTCGATTCGTGACGTGGCTCTGAAGGCAAAGTGTTCCGCCTGGTTCGTTCAGCAAACCATGAAACGAGCTGGGCTTCGTGTATTCAAGGTCCGGAAGGCACTGATCAACAAAACACGGCGGCCAAATCCCGCGCAAGGAAGCTGTATCGAGAGTGGTTAACGAAACCGATGTGTGTGGTTATGGATGACGAAACCTACATCAAGGCAGACGCAAAGCAGATACCGGGGCTGGAGTTCTACGTTGCCAAATCACGGTTTGATGTTCCGGAAGACATAAGGAAGAAGAAAGTGGACAAATTCGCCAAAAAATACTTGCTCTGGCAGGCCATATGCCAATGCGGTAAGCTGAGTAAACCGTACATCACAATGGGTACCATCAACAGCGAAATTTACCGCACCGAGTGCCTCCAGAAGCGTCTGTTGCACTTCCTGCGGTCCCACGGAGACGAGACATTATTTTGGCCGGACCTGGCATCATGCCATTACGCGCGATCGACGTTGGATTGGTACAGAGACAATAACGTTGTTTTTGTACCAAAAACCGCCAACCCCCCAAATTCACCAGAGATTCGTCCGGTGGAAAAAATTTTGGGCCATAATGAAGGCCAAAGTTCAAAAATCGTCCAAGGTGCTTAAGAACGAGCTGGAGTTGAAGACTTTGCACAAAATGTAATGAGGGGTCTTAAGGGAAAGGTGCGGGCTTTCAGCGATGGAACGAAAATTGAATAAAGTAATTATGCCGAAACATAATCCATATGTACAGGGTGCGTGACGAATTTTTGCAGTAAATTTCAAATAGTAATTTCTCATGCTTGTGCATCATGATTTAGATATATTTGGCAGCACTGGATAGCTTATACTGTTAGGTGTAAGATTTAAACAAACAATGTTGAGTAAACGTAAAGATGTCGAAACAAGAGAGCAATCTGTCAGCCGTTGTCGCTTTGTTGCGCGCCGGAGTATGCATGAAAGAAATAATTCGGTCGGTAAATGTGTCTGAAAGAACAGTGTATAATATTAAAAAAGGCTTGGGAAAGTGATAAGACGGAGCACCTGCTCATACTGCTAATAAAGCACAGAAATGGCTTACGGAAAATATTTCGTAAATTTGGGAGGAAGAAATTTGGCCCCCAAGCAGTCCCGATATCAATCCGTTGGATTATTTTGTATACGGCGTCGTCCAACGGGATACCAATAGAACCCCTCACACCACACTTAAGTCGCTAAAAGCTAAAATCAAGGCAGTGATGACATCTATGGATCGAAACATTTTAAAACGTGCTTACTGCAGTTTCCGGAAGCGTCTAACTACAGTCGTCGAAAGGGAAGGCAATTTTTTTGAATAAATTTACTTACAACTTCCATATGTTGCGAAAGAAAATAAATCGCACAAAATTCATTGCTAGAATAACTAACTGGTGTATTTTTTCTCAAATATGCCATTTACTGCAAAAATTCGTCACGCACCCTGTATTAGTTCATTCCCTGAAAGTTTCAAGAAAATCCTACTTAAAATAAATTTTTGGCGAACACTTTTGACTGGTGCATTTTTTTTTTAGTACAGTCCTTATGATGCATAAGATTAGGCCCGCTCACCAACTTCCAGGTTAAAAACTAGCCAACGGGAGGCAGAAAATTAATTTTTGAATATTTCAACTGTATTTTTCATAAAACAAAATTGTCAAAAACAGCTCATGCTGTAAAGATTAAGTCAAATTCAAGAAGGACGTTACTTTTGAGAATTTTCAAAAGCTTTTATCTGCCATAGAATACTTCAAGATACAAAGAAGGAGTCAACTCCAAGAGCAACATAATTTATGAGTATTTTATGATTGTATTTTTAAATGCATTTATCCGTTAAAGAACAACTTATAGTATAAAGAAGGAGTCAACTCAAAGCAAGAAATGATTTGAGAATTTCCATTGCATTTTTCTAAAGAGAAAAAAGTCGACTTTGGCATGGTTAGATTTAGGCAACAAAACCACAAAGCCGTTCGATTTTGGGACGGGGTTCGATGAAACGGATTTTGAAGATTATGTTACAATTTTTAATAAAATTAAAGTTATTTAAGTCTTAATCATGAAGATGATTCCTCTGTACTTCTCGGTGGTATTGCAACTGGATTAAAAAATCCAATAAAACAAAATAATTGCTATCGTCTGTTATGGCTATCGTGTTTATGGCAATCGAACGTATGGCAAACATCCGTATGGCTAACGTTCCTATGGCTAATGTCCAGTCACTTTATAAGTCTGATCGGTAAAATCCCATCAGGACTTCGAAAAAATATGAGACTCCGAAGTACCTGAGTCTAAGTACTTTTTAATGATTAAAGTAGAGATTGCCATCGAATCCCCGGTCATTTCCCGATTGGTTTCGATTCACGGTTGAATGGACACCCTGCAAATGTCTAGATAAAGAAGTTACAAAAATAATATTAAAATATGGGTCATTCCAGCTCGAGTGGGTACATAATTTAAAAAAGTTGTGGTCGATGTCACCGATTTGAGCCAAACTTGGTCAAAACGCTTATTTTAGCATTCTAAACAAACGCCTTTGTTGATATAAGCCTGCTAGCTAACCAAATAAGCTATTCGTGATCTTAGAACGTTAATTTGAAGGTTTTTTTAATTTAGATTCACATAGGTGTACCCCCATTTTGTTTTTGTTGTAGTAACTACAGTAAACAGGCTGATTACCGATTATAATACTTTCAAATTGACGTTCTAAGATCACGAATAGCTTTTATGGTTGTGAAGTAATTTCTTCTGAAATTTTTTAAAATTTTCGAAAATCCAGGGTTATAGCCCAGAAGGATCTAGGCACTTTATAGCAAAATCAAAAAAGGCGTTTGTTCAGAATGCCAAAATAAGCGTTATGGCCAAGTTTGGCTCAAATCGGTGACATCGACCACAGGTGGGGTACCCACTTGAGCTGGAATGACTCATATAACTAATTATGTCAAAACCAATTGGACAGTTAACGTAACCGTTCGCCCCAACTTATGGAACTAGGACCTAAATCAAATTTTAAATATTTTTGTATGGTTTTATCTGCGTAGAGTTATGGAAAAATGTATGCTCTAACCATGTACGGAAATAAAGAGTGAAAAGAATGAAAAAAATGTTCAATTATAAATTAGACCATATAGAGGACCACTAAGGCCAAAACCTGGCTCACTTACCCTATTTCAGCCAGATTTTACACGCTGATTTTCAATGAATATTTCTAACATAAATCTATTACCAAATCAACCAAATCATTCTTTGCTCTCATTGGTCGTAAAAAAGTGACATAAGTGACTAAATCTTAAGAAATGGGGTAATTGTTTCTGTCTTTGGCCCTAGTGGTTCTCTAATTGGCCATATATTATATATAAAATGTTTTAATGTTTTAACAAATGTATTTCCATGCCAGGTTAGAACATAGATTTTGACCTACATCGAAACTAAACTCATGAAACACTTTTTAGAATTTGATTTAGGCCCTAGGGCCAACAACTGGAGCGCTAGTGCCAAAACTGGCTCACTTACCTTAGTGACCTTTGGTGTAAACAGTGCCTGACTTGAAAATAGTGACCTAGCCACTAAAAAGTAACCTGCTACCCTGCCAGGCAATCCATTGTTTTTTTTTTATACAACGAGCTTTAACTTGAAATTTTATCTTGACCCATACCTAATCCCTCCGGGCATTGAATTGCTACATCGAAGGGTAAAAAATATGCATTTCGAAACTTTCACCACACCTCTTATACCAATCCTCAAAGGGCACGACGTAATATGTCCGAACGACGCCAAAAGTGGATCAATATCAATTATCATGTTTTATTTAGTAATACCACTTTTTCAATCGCACGCAGAGTAGAAGTAGTTTCGTATCTCGTTAGCCACTCTGAGTGTGAGTGCATGTGATGGTAGGACTGTAAAGGTTGACGCCGGCCATTGCCGATGGCTTTCTCACGTCATTCAAATGCCTTATTTATATTTAGAAACTCGTCGTACGTACCCCCTGCCTCTAAACGGTACAAATGCCCTAAGACGCCATCACGAATGCATGTTTCGTTATAAGGTGTTAATAAATTGTACATGTTTGAACAGAAAGTGATAGTCAGTCGTATGTCTATTTGTGTACTTACATTCTCCGAAAGATGGCACTGGTGTTAAGTCGCCGCCAGAGGCAGCTGCTGCTGCCGCAAACAACCCTGGACTGTACGAGTGGCGTTTGAAGTTGTACCCGAGAATCTTCTCACGAATCGGACTCACACTAGAATACAGATAACTGACGGCTCCATTACGGTGCTGCTGTTGCTGTTGTTGCTTGGAGTGGTCACGTTTTCTCAGCACCACCGGCTCCCCATTTGGGTCGCTGGTTGGTCTCAGGCCACCCACAATTACACCGTCATTTTCCAGCAGATACTTTTTGCTGCTGCTGCTATTGTTGATGTTGTTGTTGTTATTTTCATTCACACCAGGACTGAAACTGCTCACACTCTTCAGCACTATGCTACTCGGCCGGAGGCTAATGTTGTAGGATTTCCACTTTTTCTTCTCGAATTTGGCACACTCAAACAGGAACGTGTCGTCAAACTCCGGCATCTTGTCTCGTGTGAAATCTTGATGTATCTATGCAAAGTTTGAAACTAGTTCAGTTCACTTGAAATCCATCCTCTCCCAGGCGACGATAATCGATTGCAAACTGACGGCGAAGGAAAATCGTGACTCGAAGGAAACTCGCTCGATCGATTTCCCTCCCGGATTCCCATTCGTCGAACAACAGACCAACAGCAACAATCACCTTTGGAAATCTCCAACGTGCAAAGAATCAAGTACTACCCTTGGAGCCATTAAGATTAGAAGCACATATTTTAGCCGGCCAAGCCAACCGATGGCGACGACGACGACGACAAGTGCAGAATGCACCTGCACAAGAAGAAGAAAAAAATAAAAGAGATCGTGGAATGTATCTTGCATCTATAGACACATTCGTTCGCAGATCCATGATACAGCAGCAAGCTCTAATGAAGCGAATAGAGGAGTGCAGCTCGTGTGTGTACCCCCTCTCTTTCATGCCATAAATACCAGTCTCCTGTCTTGTCGCGGTCTGAACGATAGCCATACACCGCGACCTCGAGGGCCACAGTCGGTGGCCGCGTGCAATCAGCGCACCGACCAGCACCGTCCGATCCGACTTTGAGCCCAGGATGAATTGAAGGAGGGTAAAAAAAATGTCAAGATTTGATGTGGCCTCTGAGTGGCCCTAATCATAGGCTTTGGAATCTTAAAAACCTATAATGTTCGAATGGATGGCATTCATGCGAGCGAGCGATTCACATTGATTTGTACTGAAAGACGATTGTAGGATTATGATTGAAAGAAATACAATCTGCCCGGTGGGATTGCGATCGTGTCATGGAACGGGCGGCAGTGGAAGAGATCAGATGGCTACAAACGCTCGAGAAAATCAGTGAAGCTTTTTTCTTATTGAGAAGATCGTGGGATCGGTCCCATATTTGTTTGGAATCACCCATACTAGAACAATGAGGATGATTCCAAGCAGTCATATTTTGAATCTCTATGAATAGCACCGGTGATCTATAAATAACGGGGTAGCAACTACGGGTGGTTATTCAAGTTCAGGCTTGATATTATGTTGCTCCGGTTATTTCAATTTATATATATAGCATATCCACGCCAAATAGCCAACCGATTGGACATGTATGTTTCTTTTTTATAATGCGTTTATTTTTCCAGGCTCATTTTCCGTAGCTTTGCGGAGCCGATTTCATCGTTTAGATTACAAAATTACTTAAAACTAACGTTAGTAAAGCGGGGGCCGATTACTCGTGGCTATCTCGAGGTTAGGGGTAACAAATTGTAACAAACGGATGGCAGGGTAGGGATTGAGAACACAAGGTTTTTTTCGAGCAATGTACTCTTGATCTCGAACCAAGCGACATACTTGAGGAAAAGACATGATTGTTTCTGATATGAGTGAAACTTTGCTTATATGTTGCTTACTACCCAGGGTTGCATTTTCGTTTGAATATGATTATTTTGCTCAAGAGTAGTTTTGTAATTTTTTTTTTTTAGGTGGATTTTTTTTTTAATCATAACTTGAAAACGACTAATGTGATCGAAATGACATCTGAGAAGAAGTTTTAGGTAATTAAATGATCTTTGATAAAAAAATACACCGAAAGAAAAAAAATAGTAAACTTACGCCATTTAATCATATCGTCAGGACATTTTCCACTGAGATGGCGCTGTTCCGCTGGTAGAAAGTGATAAAAATCCCCATATAGAAAGTGAGAGAAGTGGGAATAATTCGTTTTCGGGGCATATTCACGTCAAAAAAGTGAACAGCAACGTGAAGAAATTAGTCAGGGACTTTGTCGTTCAGGTTTTCGCGAGAATTATTGTTGAACAAGCTACAAATAAATAAAAATTAATATTCCCCATACAGTTTTACCTGCTTTACTACCAGAGCCAAAAAAATCAAATTTGATAGAGAAAATTTGCTCTTACTAGTTCAATTTCTCAACATGCCATGTATTTTTTATGACACTCTATTTCGGATTTCCCTCTCACCGACCACAAAATAGAGGACAGTGCAGTGCAAAACATGCCTGGTACCTCTATATATGCATTTTGATTAACATCCAAAGTTCGGATGTTAATCAAAATGCATATATAGAGGTACCAGACATGTTTTGCACTGCACTGTCCTCTGTGAACAATTAACGGAAAACAGATTATGTATAGTTTCCGATAGATGATTTAAAATTAATATAGTTCTATGATTTTCACTGAAGTTCTTAAGCTTTTTTGAAGTTCATGTAACTGTTCTTAAATTATAGACAAACATGGCTAATGGGCTTGGATACAATTTTAGATTTCTGAACTATGATGAGAATGCCAAATGAGCTTTGAGGATAGTTGTAGAGGAAACCTATGGAGACTTCTGATAGAATTTAACTAGACATTTCAAGTAATTTCAAGAAATATTTCATGCAAATTCTAACGAGAAGTAAAGGTGAGTTTTAAGGTAGTTCTGAAGAGACTATTATGAGGATTTGATTATAATTTTAGGGAACTCTAAAGCAAATCGAAAGGAATTCCAGTGAGCTTTCTCAGGGAATGCAGAGCCTCTTTCCTTCGAAGTTAATTCATTTTTAATCATATAGTCGAGCAGATTTTGGACGAGCTGCTACCAGTGATTTTATGAAAATGAGACAATACATTCCGATTTTTTTAAGTTCATACATAAAACCCTATTTTCTCGAATTCATAGAGAAAAAAACCAAAATATTGCCCATGGTAAGGTTTGAGTGGTAGTAAACGTAATTTTAAACTGTTATAATGATATGATTTGGAATTGACCAGAAACTACACCTACGGCTGAAAATCTCTTAAATGTCTGATCAATCAATCAACAAATTAAAGAGAAATTTTTAGGAGAGCTGCAAGGACATGTGGATAATATCTCCATGGAAATCTAATTCCTAATATAGCTCAACATATTCTGTGCATAATTTCATGCTAGTTTGAATATAGTTTCAAGAGAAATACAAAGGGAATTTCAAAGATATTCCAGAAAGGTTTTGCAAGAATTTTTGAGCATATTTCCAAAGAAACTATAAGTAGTGCTCCAATAGAATATGAAGAAATTTCCAAGGGAATACTAAGGAGGATTTCAAGAGAATTCCAAGATAATGCCAAGAGATTCTTTTAAGGGCATTCTGAGAATAATTCTAAGGTGAAATCCAAATATATTTTAAAGAATACATTTCTTAATTCTAAGTAATATATCAAGAGATTTCCGAGGAATATGCCAAAAAAGTTCTAAAGAGAAATTAAAAAAAAAAAATCTACCAAAAATATTAAGAATCAGAAGATAAATTGGTCGGCGTTAAGTCAGAAGGGACTTATAAGCAAAACTAATTAAAAAATACAGAAGCGTCGCATGCCTCATGTGCTTAACTGTGCACCAAACTTTGTTCGTTATAGTTTACCACCACATATTAATTTTTGTATATTTTTCAATGCTCTATGAATTCGAGGGACATATTCTCAATTACATTATTAACCACTACCTAACGTAACATTTGAAGGGCCTATAATCTTTCGACTGAAGTGTAATAAAGAATATCCGTCAAACACTTCCGAAAACATTTTTTGATACAAAACAGTGTCAAAATCTAGAGAAGCTCATAAGTTTTCACAGGCGCACCGGCGCAACCATCGGTAATTGAGAGATTTTCAACGGACAAGAGAGTAAGAGCAACCTTTGGCGCTCTCTTTCTCCATTACTCTCTTTGCCTGCAATCAGATATCCAAGTGCACAGCGAGAAATGCACACTTTGGGTACCCATACATCACAAATGTTCTTCTTATTTATACTCACACATTCAAACTGGTCTGCAAGTATGATAACGTCCGAAGTGTACCAGACTGCTGTTTTCGTGTTGCTCCCGTTTGACGCGTGACTGCTGAAAGTTTCAATTACAACTAGCGGTGCATACCGCTATGTATTGTGGAAAATTTGTGGTATGTTTCAAGAGGTGATAGAAGGTCTGCTTGGCTTACATCAGGCATTGACCATTCACAAACTTGCCACCCGACACCCAAAAAAACTCGCTTTTGGGTGCACTATTTAACGAGTTTTGTCATGGTAGTGTTATCGATATGCTTAGAAATCAATGCATTAGGGATTAGGCAGACCATTTGAACCTTTTTGAAGCAAACCAAGGTCGAAGATTTAATTGAGCCACACTATAAAATAGTGTATTCATAAAATCCATAAAAAATCTAAACACATTTTTTTAATTATTCACACCTGTGTCGTGCACAGGTTGCACATGTGGACGCGAAACCACTTAAAAAATTGATAAAGATAGCATTAGATCAATAATTCCCTCAGCTACATTTAACTTTTTTTTTCAGATATGAAAAATGTTACAAACTTCAAGAGATAGAGACTTGTCCCATTGCATAAGAAACAAAACAATACAACCAAATTTGAATTCGTTTTTTCAGTAAATCAAACAATTGTTACTTGGTCCGGTCTGACTTAACACCGATCAGAGTGAATTTCAAGAGTTTTCCGGAACGAATTAATAGAGTCTTCGGCACAGAATTCCGAGACTGCTACGGAGAAAATTTCCAGGAAATACCAGACAGAATCATAAGATTATTGAGAGAAATCCTGAAAGTAGAAGTAATTCCGAAGACTTTTTCAATGATCCAGTGATGTGTATTGAGTTCCGGGAAAAAAAATCTTTGGGATAACATCACGTTCAAACTGCTTTCAAAGCAGATCTGAGGAATTTTTGATTTCATGTGAGAACTGCGATAGTTTTGAGTAGAATTTCAAGAAAACTCTGAATTGAATTCAAAGTAAATGGAAACTTATAGGCATTTCTGAGGAGCAGAACTCCTGTGAACTTCAGAGTACAATTTCAAGGGTATTCTGAAGTATGTGGGAGAAAACAAACCCGGAGCATAAGTCCTTGGAAATTTTTCGAGAATACATACGAGGTGAGGGGGGTGCTACAAGGAAGATTCGAAAAATAATTCCAGGAGCGTTTGTTGTTTATTAGTTTATTTGATAAGGCTCAAACGAATTAACTTTACAGAGCCGAGGATTCTTGGTCACTATAAAGGGTGATACGGTCAAAATTTGGTCAATATCAACTT